TGTGTGTGTACGTGCGTGCGTGCGTGCGTGCGCGCGCGCGTGTGTGCGCGCGCATGCACGCGCATATGTTAAAAAAATAATCATAATAATCGAAATGGATGAATAACATTGAGTTATTTCTGCTGTAACGTTGCATACTGAGGGATATGTGCTACAAGTATATTGTGCCGTTTTTGAAGCTACGTTTGTGAGCGTTGGTGTATCTTACTATAATTTGGCGAATGTTGTATGTATGTATGTATGTATGTATGTATGTATGTATGTATGTATGTATGTATGTATGTATGTATGTATGTATGTATGTTAATGAAAGGCTCCGTCAGTTTTGATCCAAATAGCGCTAAATTCACATAAGAGATCGATGAATACACGGGACGGGTTCTAAACTATACTCGGTTGAAAACGGTAAAAAAGGCTTAAAAAAGACACACACAAAAAGTAAAGATTTGCCTGAAAATAGGCCCCCCCACTCAGTGTTATTTAGGGTACGCATATGCTCGTTCCCTTCCTTTGAAAGTACCCCCCTATCTCAGGACTGCTAAATTTCTGAACCTCCTTTCGCGGGCTTTTTGCGGGTTTTTCCTGCCTTGGAGACCCCCCTAAATCCGGAACACTGCTCAATGTACCCCCTATCTCAGGTGAGCTCTCATTCCAACCGTAGTGACGTTAGTGTAGCGTGTGGAACTGTCGAACCAGTCTACACTACGTAGTGTAGAGTTCAGTGATCGAGGGGAACTAGGGGGCAATATTTTTACATTTCAAAATTAAATAACCCTGAATGAGCTTCCAAAACTAGCAGGAATTTTAGGAATTTGATCCCGGGATTTGATAAAGTTTTCTATGATATTCAAGAAGCTAGTTACCTGCATTAATTGCTGGTATGCAAAGCGCAGGCAAAATGATGCAGAAATAAAATGGCATATGATTTTTAGCTATTGCTGCTTGACTAAATGTGTGCTCAAATGGTGCTCATTTTGAAATTTTAAAATTTCCTGGGGGAGGCCCCCCAGCCGCCATGTGCTTCCGCGCCTGACGGCGCCCACTGTGGGGTGGTGTGCCCTTTTTGGGGGATGTGCCCTTAAAATCTGGAAAAATACTGTCTATAGCTTCAGCCCTGGATCCGCCCCTGGCGTGTGTATGCATATATGCAGGAATGATGCGATTGCGATCGCGAACGGTTGGCTGGCACGTCAAGCGTACACAATCGCTATTGCAAGTGCATAGCCGAAACAGGCATTGCGGGTTTTGCAGCAGTTTTTGCAGCTGCGGCTGGCTTGTGTAACCAATGATAATGCCTTGACTTCGAGGCGTGCAATTTTGGGGGCTATTTCAAAAAGTTTTCTTGTTAACTGTCGCCCCTTAATCAGCTCCCGTAATCACATTTTCGGGAGCTCTTTTTGGAACTTCGGGGGTGATTTCGCCCCTGCCCCCGTGTATTGTTTCACTGATTGCAGGCCGTAGTCTGAGTGCAGAAAATGCGCTTGGAAAAAAAATTTCGTTGCACCCAAGCTGGGTCTAAAAACTTTCATCACTAATTACGTGTTTATAATGGTAAACTGTAGTTAGAATGACACGTCTACAAGTTTGAATCGTCGCAGTTTTTTTAGTAAACACTTGTAAAATATTTGAACTACTTCACCCGCGGAGAAACGACGCACATTAATATTAGCAATGACGTTCCAGCCAATAGGATTTCATCGTTCATATACAACTCCAACAATGGCAGCGCCCCTGACAAATAATCATATGTATTGAATGTGTGAAATCAAGTGTATTATTCATGTATAGTCAACGAAGTGCAAGAATTACGGTGATACTTTTTGGGAAAAATTTTAAGAATGAAACAAACATTCGATATAGGCAAATATCAAACTGTCGGAATTCTGTGATTCAATAAACTGTTCATTCAAAATGAGCGACTAAGCCCTAGTACTAGGGTGTCCGGTCCACTCGGTTTACCTGCCAACTCGGTTCGCAGTTGACCGAGTTGACGCGGCTGGAGATCGGTGAGCTCGGTTCGCCGGCTAACTCGTGAGATGTTTCACACACTCCAACTCTAATATCTCGCGAACGATTTGAGTTTTCTAAGTTGTTAGTGAGTTATTTCTAAAATTCTATATACATATAAACACATGTCTTAGCTATGGTTTCTGTGAATTTTGAGTTTATTGAAGCACGAATAGTTTAATTAATTACCAGAAATATACGTACGCGCGGTATCGTCATAGGCTAATAGTAATATCTCGCGAACAATTTGAGTTACATTTTTAAAATTCTAGATACATATAAACACATGTCTTAGCTATGGTTTCTGTGAATTTTGAGTATATTGAAGCACATATAAACACATGTCTTAGCTATGATTTCTGTGAATTTTGAGTATATTGAAGCACGACTAACAGTATATATATATGTGTGTGTGTATGTGTGTGTGTGTGTGTGTGTGTGTGCGTGTGCGTGTGCGTGTTTGCGTGCGCGCGC